CAGACTATACCGAGCCAGGCACCTAGAAACGACGTGTGACATAAGTCTCTTTTCCTTGGAAGCCTCCTCGTGTTTTGGTAAAAATTTCGGATTCCAAGTCAGAAATAAAAAAATGCACCTCCAACGTCCCATGCCTTATTTCTTCTGAAAAGTGACCCTATTTCCTGTTAATTCGGGATCGTCCTTAATGGATTCCAGGCTATTATATTCCAAACGTTTTCCTAATTTTGTATATTCTACAAAAACAACCAACTACCTTGGTTATTAAAAACCAAATGTTTCTTTCCTCTTTCATCAATAATTATTTCCCAAGAAAAAAACCCATATTATACGGAATAATCATGGGAGTAAAAAATTACCAAATTTTTATTCCTAAATCATTTCGTTGGGGGAGTAAAAAGCTATTCTAGACACCTGAAAACACACTAATTCACCACGGCTAGGGATGATGGGCCTCTCCGTTTCACTGAACTAGATTTAGAACTGCCGAAAAATGAACTAGATTTAGAACTGCCGAAAAGCGGATGCCGATTTCAGTGGTTTTTTTGACCGACCTATACACAAACTGTGCCGACGACAGTTCCGAAAAAACCAGCGAAGCTTTACTCCCACTCCCGTTTCCCGGATCAAAAATCCTTCTTAGCAAGTTGTTTGAACAAGGCCCTCTGGTCAGAGAAGGCAGCAACTCTGAAGCAGCAGCACCTAAACACCGAACAAAGCGCCTTCGGGGGTGCATGGGTAGGACGCCATTACGCGGGGCAGTGGCCTGCGCCGCCGATGCCGGAGACGACCCAGGCCCCGAAGCGCGGGCTCGGCTCCCCCAAGGAAGCCACAGAAAGAGACAGAAATCTAGAGACAGACTCTCAACAAGCTAAGCCAGCGGAGAAGACACGGAAATAGCGAGAGCCCGCTTACCTTCGTGAGTCTTGGCGATCTTCGCCATTTTGTCCACTCGAACACACAGACGGAACTGGCGCTCCCAAGAACTTCCGCTCGTCGCCGCCGCCACGGAGAAAAATAGCTGGGCTGTTCTCTGAGCATGCGCCAACCGGGAACGCGCGCCGTTGGGTGACACGTGACAGAACAGCCACCTAGAGGGAACAGAGAGGTGCATTGTGGGTTGGGGGAGGAGCCGAAATGGACCCGGAGGCGGTATTCTTGATGAGCCTTTAAAGAACTGGGTGAGCCTTAGTGTCTTTAAAGGGATTAACTTTGTCCGGGAGGAAAGTGGATTCCACCAGGGTAATTAAAACAGTCACTCTAAGAAACACTTTGGTTTCAGGACCCGAGGACACCTCAAGCCTTCAGTCTCCTTCCTCTAAATTCACCTGAAGGCGTCTTGGGGCCAGAGAAAAGCTTTCCTTACTCTGCCTCAGCTGTTGCAGTGCTTAGTTATGGAAACAGTCATAACAGTCCCATCCTTCCCGCTGTAACTCAAGGTTATTTTCTTTTTTAATAATTAGTTGTCATTTAGGCAGGATTTTCGTTTGCAACATATATTCTCGAGCAATATTGACCTTCATAAACACCCCAGTAAGGTGGACAAGCAGTAAGGTGGGCAAGTTCTTTGCTGATCCCATTAAAGAAATGAGAAAAACTAGGGAAGAAATGAGAAAAACACAGACGCGCGCGCGCGCGCGTGTGTGTGTGTGTGTATGTATGTAAGTGTATGCAAGATCACAGTTATTAAGTTACACAGTAGGAATTTTGCACCCTTTTAAAAAGTCTTTTACCTTCTTAGATTCTTAGAAAACCATTGATCTGCAGCCTTAACACTGATGAAATGCTTCTCAAGTCAAAAGGCCAGAAAATGGTGGTCTGTTACCTATGCAACAATTTTACTAGCATAACCTTGTACTGTCACACCGGCTTTAGACTTTAGTTAAAAAATAAAGGAACTTTTAAAAAGAAATTGGCACAGGAAGTAGCCTAGGAAAACAGGCAGGAATCAAGGTTAGAGCCATCACAAAGAAAAGAGTTTACCTGGCTGTGTGATATAACACAATCACAGGGACAGAGAAGCACCTGCACTTTGGACCCTCCTAGGCCTTGTCCCAAATGTACCTCTTCATCTGGCTGTTCATCTGCATCCTCTATTACATCCTTTAATAAACTGGAAAACTGAGTATTTCCCTGAGTCTGGTGTACTGCTCTAGTAAAAAAATCAAACCTGAGGAGGTGTTGTTGAAACTGCCAATGTACAGCACACTGAATAGAAATTGTAGGTAACCTATAGACCTCACTACTTCTGAATGACAGCTGAAGATAAATGGGAGAAATCTTGTATGACTGAGCCCTTACCTATGTGTGGGATTTGATGCTATCTCTGTTAGACAGTGTTAGAATTGAAGTAAATTGTAGAAAGCCCAGCTGGTTTTGCAGAGGATAGCTTGGTGAGAGAAAAACTTCCAGATAGTCAGTGACCAGAAGTAAAGTGTCTTATGTGAGAAGAAAGTGAGATTCACAGATGGAGAATTGAGTTTTCCCAATTCACTATGGGTTGCCATTTCACTCTGTTGACAATGTCCTCTGCTGTACAAGTTTTCAATTTTGGTGAAGTTCAGTTTATTTTTTCCTCTTGTTGCCTGTACACTTGGCATCATAATCAAAGAAATCATTGCCAAATCCTTTGCTGTGAATAACTTAGTGGGGTTTTTTTTTTTTTTTAAGATTCTTATTTATTTCATTTATTTTGCATAGAAGAACTGGGGTATAGGCCAGAGGAGGGGAGGGTGAGGATTCACCAGAGACAGAGTGGGGAGCAGAACAGGCAGAACCACTGAAATACAATGCAAAGGGGAGCAACGGGGGAAACAGGAGAGGTCTGAGGCATGGCTGCACCAGCAATACCGCAGTAATAAAGAAACGGGACTCAATCGTGGAGCAGGCTATAGGATGCAGGATGTTGCTTGAGAACAAGATCCTGGCCTTTTTATTGACAGAGAACAGTGGGTCAAATTGAACATTGGATTTTGGTTTTAGGGAGAGTGAGTCCAGTGATATATACCCAATTCCCACTCATGGCTCCAATCTTATTAACAAGGTATTCCACTGACCAGTCACTGGCCCTCAGGGCGTTCCCAGTCATACCTCAGGATGTATACCTATTGCCCCAGGACGAACAAGCATCCTGCTCTTGCCTAAATTGAAAGGAGCCTCACAGTCTACACCCATAGGGCTCCAGGTGGGTTAGCTCCCTGGTCAGGGGTTGAACTCAGGTATTGATCTCAGGCCTTTGGGTGGGCCTCCACAGTGCTAAAGCTGAGACTTGACCCCAAGGCCACTAGGGAGGCCCCAGTAACTTAGTTTTGATTCTGGAAAATTTATATACAGGAGCCTTACTGGTGGCCTGGGGGTTAAGTCTCAGTACTATCACCACTTTGGCCTAAATTCAATTCCCAGCCAGGAAGCTATGGCACAGCAGACCTCTTCTGTCTTGCCTGCTGCTCCCCTCAGCAGTGTATTTCAGTAGATCCGCCTGTTCTGCTCCCCACTCCTGTCTCTGGTGAATCCTCTCACCCACCCACCCCCCTGTGCTTCTGGCCTACACCCCAGTTCTTCTGTGCAGAAATAAAAAAATATTTTTAAAATAATTCATATACAAATTGTTCAAGTAGCATCATAAAAAGATATAAATGAAAAGTGAAAGCTTTTCCTTACCTGTCTTATTCCCCAAAGATTAAGAGTTTCGAATATTCATTAAATAATATTATGTATATACAAGCATTCAGTACATATACTAATTTTTATACCCGAGATGTTTAAAAGGGAAGCCTGTTTAAGAAGGTAGGTGATAGAAAAACTACATACTGTATAAAATTAGAAATTATTCCAAGAAGGAAGGAAAGAGTTCAAGCATGAAGATACTAACATGAATAAATGAGAAGCTTCCTAGTAAAATCAGACTTTAATAAAAGGGGAAAAGAAAGGAAACCTCCCAAAGGAAACCTACATAAAAAAATTAATCAGGGGCCTCCCTGGTGGTACAAGGGGTTAAGACGCAACCTATGAAGCAGTCCGTAGCCACTGCAGCACGAGTCGGATCCCTGGCTGGCACAAGGATGGCACAGCAGACCTCTCCTGACTCACCCGCTGCTCCCCTCGGCAGTGTATTTCAGTCAATCCTCGTGTTCTGTTCCCCACTCTGTCTCTGGTGAATCCTCTCAACCGCCCCTTACCCCCCACCCACACCTCTGGCCTATCCCCCACTTCTTGCATGCATAAATAAAGAAAATCTTTAAAAAATAAATAAAAATAAAGAAAGAAAATAAAAAATAAAGAAAATAAAGAAAATCTTTAAAAAAAAATTAATCAGGAGTTTTTGGCACACTCAGGGGCCTCAAGCCCCTCCCCACATATCTTGCCCTATGCCTCGCTTCCATTTGGCTGTCCCAAATTACATGCTTTTATAACAAACTAATCTAAGGATATACTGAATAAAGATGCTGGAGAATGTGAACTATGCCTTTGAAGAATTGCAGCAGGAAGATACTAGAGCACAACTGCCTTGTCTATATATATATCGTAAAGGCTGCATTGAAGTAATAGATCTTTTTCCTGAAGCACCCTTTAAACATCAGATTCCTATTTTATAGGTGTTGTCCTTTCAAGATGTCTGAAAACCAAGAGGATATAAATTCTATGTCTGAAAAAACAAAATGAAGGCAGATGATTACCACAGAACTCAGTGTACCAAACATGCATATAAATGACTCACAGGGATTCTGAAAACACTGCACATCCCTCAACAGTCATCTACATAGGTAATACTGATAAACATTTTATATTTAGACACCAAAGTTAACTGATTTTAAAAGTTTGTTTATTATGTGGTTCTGGGTGTCTATGTGCCACAGTATGTGGCAGGCAGTAGCAAGAGAGGAATTTAAGGATTAAATAAAAGGCTGGTTATATAACCAAGAAAGAATCCATTTTCTTGAGCAGTAATGAATGACCTAATATAAGAATTTCTGGATCTGGAAAGCTGTGAAGAGTCCTTATCTATGTTGTCATCCTTTGTGGCCCCACCTATGATGTGGATTAGTTTCTTTTCTATTTGAATCACTTCTCAATGTTTTAGTTTTGAATCAACTCTCAATATTTTAGTTTTGGCTTGCTCTGCACTGTTTCTTAAAAATAGTTCTAGGGCCTCCCTGGTGGTGCAAGGGGTTAAGTTTCAGCACAATGAAGCTGTGGGCAGCCACTGCAGGAAGAGTTCTATCCCTGGCCAGGGAGCTAACCCACATGATGCAGCAGACCTCTCCTGTTTCGCCTACTGCTCCCCACAGCAGTGTATTTCAGTAGATCTGCCTGTTCTGTTCCCCACTCTGTCTCTGATGAAAACTGTCCCCTTCTCCCCCCACCACACACACCCTCTGGCCTACACCCCCGTTCTTGGATGCATAAATAAAATAAATCTTTAAAAAGTTCTAATATTTAGTATTATAAGGTTGCTGCTATGTCTTTCAAGAAGTCACACAGTATAAAAGCATTCTGACTCAAAGTCAGGAGACATGCATTTACTTGCTGGCTGTTTTGCTTACTAACTACCCCTAATCCTGTATCCTAAGGTCTCAGTAAAAATGAGATGAAGGATTCCATCACAAAGGCCTCATTGCACCATCTCAGATGTACCAATACAGGTTGGTGTTGCTTTATCCCCAGAGAAGTGCTTCCTAGTTATATGGGGTTTCGGAGTAGAATGTATGTTTCCTCTACGCTGTTTAGTTCTAGCACACTAGCACAACTAACAGCGCCCTCCCCTTAGACACCTGGGTTTCGGAACCCCTCCATCAAGTTTCTAAGTTCTAATTACCCCAACTTCTTCCTTGTTTCTCCAGTTCTAAGGGTTGTGCAGAAAAGGCTCAGGCCTGTTTGCTATCCCTTGAAAGACAAGCTTGTAAGGTTGGCCCTTTGGCTGGCACTTGGAAACTGGATTTCAGAGGCTTCCCAATATTTCCAGAACTGATAAAACTGTCTCAGGATGACTAAACTGTGAAAGCAATATGGTTTATACTGAATACCAGCTTTCCTTGAGAAGTCTGGAATTGAGTATGTACTATATGATCAGTACAGGGTGCCTATATGATCAGTCCCAGTAAAAAACCCTTGGCACTGAGTCTTTTGTGAGTTTCTGTGGTTGTCAATAGTTATTTCACACATCCGAACTTGTTGCAGAAGAATTAATCACATCCTGTGTGATTCTACAACTTTACTAGGCAAGACCCTTGGAAGTTTGTACCTGGTTTCCCCCAGACATCTTACATGCTCCTTTTTCCTTTGCTGATGTAGCTTTGCATCCTCTCACAGCTGTAAATCTAGTAGTGAATACAATTGCATGGTAAGTCTTGTGAGTATTTTTGGCAAATCATAGAACTTAAGGGGTCTTGGGGATACAGGATGGTAACTGCTTCCTGTACTTACTAATGCTTTCTTACCTCACCATCCACTTTTTGTCACCTTAGTTCTCCAATTTTTAAAAAAACTATTCTAAAATTTTCTGTTCAGAATAACAGATATTTAAAATAGCAATAAATTCCTGACTGGTTCCTAATTGACGTAGCCTGTTGGTAAAGGCAAACTGTCTAGTTAATCCTCTTTGATGAACTAATTTTTATCAAAACTAACACCTGTAATAGCACTAATCTCTTATAACTCAGTTACTGATTCAGTCAAAGAAGGTGTTCTTTCGACCAAATACTTTATAAAGGCAATCCTTGCATGAAATCATTAATTTTGGGATAATTATCCTATTGATAAAAAAAGTGCCAGTAATGAAATTATGTTAACTTTAAAATTGTCCTCTATTTCAGAAAAAAATTGTAACAGGTTTAGGCAAAGTCTTGTTTGGTAGTTAAAATTCATTCTATATTTGCTTTGTCTTGAGATTTGATTAAGAACAGCGTTAATAACAAAAATCATAGTCATCTCTATTTACCTGAATCCTTTCTGGTTGTTTAGTTTATACACAGGGTTCTGAAGAGTGAACAAAATATCAAACAAATGTGATTCTAAATGAATCAATCAAAAGATTTCAAACATCCACAAAGTTGATTTTAATACTATTATGAACTCCATGAACTCATCATCCAGTTCAAATATCAACAAATGATCTATTGTTTCATCTACTCCACTCTCCCACATCCACTGGATTATTTTTAAAGCAGATCATGTCATATATCATATATCATATATACTTGACTCTCCAAGAGGTATTCATTTAAACAACATAAGTACATCTAAAAAACATTAATTCCTTAAAAACATCTAACAGCCAGTTGTCAAATTACCCAGTTTTTTATAAATATATGTATATGTATATATGTATATATATTTAAAATTAAATCCAGGCCTCCCTGGTGGTACAAGGGGTTAAGACGCAACCTATGAAGCTGTCCGCAGCCTCTGCAGCACGAGTTCCATCCCTGACCAGGGAGCAACCCACATGGCGCAGCAGACCTCTCCTGACTCACCCGCTGCTCCCTCAGCAGTGTACTTCAATTTGCCTGTTCTGTTCCCCACTCTGTCTCTGGTGAATCCACTAACTGCCATACCTCTGGCCTGTACCCCAGCTCTTGTATGCATGAATAAATAAATCTTTTAAAAAATAAAATAAAAAATAAATCCAAATAATGCCTCTTAATCTTTAAAATCTGCAACAACCTCCCACCCCCTTTCTCCTCAAGTAAAACATGTTTTACTTCACATTTATTTGTTGGAGAAATTGGCTTATTTCCATAGTCTGTATTTGGCAGATTGTATTCCTTTGGTGTCATTTAGCATGTTATTCTCTCCTCTGTGTAAAATGACATATATAAAAGCTTGACCAGATTCAGATTCAATTATTCTGACAATACTTAAAATATATCTCAAATAGGGCCTCCCCGGTGGCACAGCGGTTGAGCGCTGGGTTGCGAAGCTGCCCGCGGCCTCTGCAGCGCCAGTTCGATCCCCCGCTGCTCCCCGGCCACCAGAGGAGGGTCCCGCATGGCGCGCAGACCTCTCCTGCCGCCCGCTGCTCCCCTCAGCAGTGTCCTTCGGTCCTTCTGCCTGCTCTGCTCCCCGCTCTGGCTCTGGTGAATTCTCTCACCCTCCCGCGCTTCTGCCTGTACCCAGTGCTTGTATAAATAAATAAATAAATAAATCTTAAAAAAAAAAAAAAAGCAAACATTTGCTATATTTAAAAAAAAAAAAAATATATCTCAAATATATTTTTGATGGCATAATTGGTTTGGACACTAAAATACTGCTTCCAACATGAATCTGCTGTTTTAATTTACTATCAACCTTTGCATATCGTATAGACAGACCTTTTAATCCCCAATTTATGGAAGCACTGTGATCTACTACAACTGAGCCAGAGCTTAGTATCACCTTTAAGTTTACAATATATCCTTCTTTCCTTTGCTGGGAAATCAAATGAGTATCATACACTGTCATCTATTGCAAAGATTCCTTTATTTGCCTTAAAAAAAATTTTATTGGGAAACTATTTCAATGGGTTACCCAATTCAGTCGGTATTTTCAAGTGTCTGAAATGAGAAAGTATTTGGTAAATTTAATAATTAAAAATAGGCCTCAAATTAAGTACATAGGTACATCATTATTGTACTGAAAAATATGTTTAACAGATGTTCTAGTTAATAATACCTTAGTAGAAAGTGGCAGTGCCAACATTTTATAGGCACTTGGTAACCACTGTGGTTTATGAACAAAGCAATAATATAATGAATGGGTATTTTAATGGAAAATATAACTGTAATGTCTAAAATTTGAGACAAGAAGAGCAATGTGTATTTGAAGATAACGTGACACAGAATTGTTTGGATGCAGCTACATAACCACATCAATCAATAAGCACATCTGTGTTAAACTGAAGGGTGTTTGACAAACACTATCGATGGTGCTTTCAACTCCACAAAGCCTCTGGTAAAGGATGATGGCAGCAAACAAAACAAAGGTAGAAAATAAGAGTCATATAAACACACAGCAGCTAGAATACTTTTTAAACGTAAATCAGATCAAGTCATTATTCTGTCCTCTTAAAATGAGTCATTTCACACAGAATAAAATGCAAATGTGTTACCATGGTCTCTCATACACTATAATAAAGTCCTCACTTCCTCTCTGACCTTATTTCTTACCATGCTCATCCTTATTCAGTGCTCCGAAACCCTTGCTCTTCATAAAACCAGGCAACAATGTTCCTGTCTGGGGTCTGCACTTGTTCCCTCCACCTGGTTACTTTCTTCACAAATAGTCAAACTTCACTTCCTCACTTCACTTAGGCCTTTGCGCACTATTTACCTCCTTAGAAACCCAACTAACCACCCGATGTAAAACAGCACCCCTCTCTGTCCTTACCCTGCTTCACTGTTTTTCTAGAGCAGATTATCTAACGTATTATATTCTAGTTAATTGATTTCCCTCACTAGAATATAAACTCAGTGATGTCAGACTTGTGCCCTTACATACATAGAACCTAAAACAGCAAAGACTGTCGAATATTTGTTGATTACATTTAAGCAGTGATCTCAGTTACCTTTCAAAACTTTATGCATCTGGTACTATTGCTGGACAAATACCATGATTTACAGAAAACCACTATATGACGTGCGAAGGTTAAACAAGGACCTTGGGGAAAATGTCTGGACTCGATGACTGATACCCGAAATGGATGCATCTGAGCAAAATTGTCTGGTTTGTATGGAATAAGAGAAATCCAAACCACACACGAAGGGCAATTAAAATGTTGGCCACGTAGGGAGAAGCAAAAGGAACCGAGTCTCTTCCCTTAAGCACAAGCCCTTACGCTGCCCTCGCAACCACCCCAGGGGGGACGCCCGTCAGGGACTGTATCCTAGACCGTCAGCAACCGCAAGCTTCTGATCGCCAGGCTTCACCGCCAGGAGCGACGGCGGGTCCGGCCCAGCACTCACCGGTTTGAACAGTTACATAATTAACACCCAGAACCTCGGGCTCCCTCCACCTCCAGGGCAGAGTTCACGTGCGGGGCCTCACGACCGGAAACTGCCCCCAACAGGACCGCCACCAACCGTTGGCTAATCTCCGGAAGTGTCCCGGCGCGGGAGGCGGGGTGAGCAGTCACGGCGTGTCTTGCGTAAGGCGCATGCGCGCGAGGCGGGCACCCGAGGCGAGCCCGCGGAGAGGGTGTGCCCAGGCGGCCTTGAGCGCCTCTGATTGGCCGGTAGGATGACGACAGCATTTACAGTCGGGCCTACGGCAAGCGAAGAGTACGTCAATTTTGCGCAAGCTACTAGGGAAAAAGGGGCGTGACTGGAGAGTCAGGGAGCCCGCCGATTGGCTGCCGGCGGGGAACCGGACCGGCGGGTCCCGAACTGGGCGGTGGCCGGCTCCAGTGAAAAGATAATGGCAGCTCGGGCCGGTCACAGGATCCTGAGAAAAGTGGCCTGGGGATGCCGCCCGAAGTCGGCTGCCGCGGCCGGAGCCCCGTGTCCGGCGCAGGTATCTCTGCGGAACGTCAGGTAATAAACTGCGGGGACGCCGCGACGGCGGTGTTTTCTCGCCGGGCCGGTGGCGTGGCCGTCCCGAGGGCTTGGGCGACGGGGAGCCCGACCGGGGACGTTTTCGCGGGCCTGGGAGTGAGGGGTCTGTCCACTGCCTTGGGCGTTCGCGGGACTCCGTCGGCGCGCCCCGTCTGTGTCCGTGGCCCGGCCCCGCGAGAGTCGGGAACCGGCGGCCGAGCGATTTTGGAAGCAGTCGATAAAGCTGCGGGGGGGCCGGTGCCCTCGGGCCCTTCCGGTCTCCTCCCCAAGGCCTGTCACCTGTGTTCCCAGGGCCGCAGGCTGCTGGCGTGTGAAGCTTGTGGCCTGGCGACGAGCCCCCCTCTTCCTCGGTGCCAGATTGCCGGACGGTTTCCTAGTTTCTGCTAGAGGTCTTTGCCCCTGCCCTTCGGTGCTTGCAAAACTAAACGAGAAGGGCCTCCCTGGTGGCACAAGGGTTTGGACCTAGGAGGCTGTCCGCAGCCTCTGCAGCACGAGTTCGATCCCCTGCCGGCCAGGGAGCAACCCACATGGCGTAGCCGACTTCTCCTGACTCTCCCGCTGCTCCCCTCAGCAGTGTATTTCAGTCAATCTGCCTGTTCTGTTCCCCGCTCTGTGTCTGGTGAGTCCTCTCACCCCCCTACACCTCTGGCCTGTACCCCAGCTCTTTGTATGCATAAATAAATAAATCTTTAAAAAAAAACAAACTGAAAGAGCAGACTTAGGGAACTTGGATTTTTTTTTTTTCCCCACTCCACTGTAATTTAGACGTCCTGTAACCATGAACTAGAGTCTGCCTTCTATTTTCCTGTTTGGGTTCCCTTTTGGTGGGTGGGGGTGGAGATGGAGGCAGACATAAAGGATTCCACATTCTATATTTAATTTCCTTTTCGTAATGACAGTGTAATAAACTATGTTCGAAATTTTCAGCTAGTGTTTAAAATTAATTCAGTTGTAAACAATACGGGATAGCACGTCAAAGCGCCAATCTGGTTTGAGTTTAAGTATGTTTTGATTCAGTGAAGAATTTAAAAAATACCAAGAACTAACCAAATCCTGTTGACAGAGTGAATGAAATTGAAATAAAACCATCTCCTATCATTTATTCCGACTGTAGGAAATAATTTGAAAAAGCGGTTCCAAGCAGAACATACCCTATTATACTTTAGATCTGTTTCTATTACTTTTATAAAATATTGGTTCACAAGTGAACAAAATTGTGCATTTGAGGAAACAAAACAAGTAGCTTTTCATCAAATTAAGGTTTAAGTTTAAGATAAATACCCTCTGTCACAGTGAAGTGACAGGGAGTTTATATAAGTTTACTGACAGTCTGAAACATTAACATAGATTTCTGACTTTCATTATAACAGTATTTCAGATAGTACAGAATATTGGATGATTAGCAACAAGCTGTCCTTCTGGCCCAGTACTCACTTTATGTGTGTGTACATAGATATATGCATGTATATACATGTGTGTACATGTGTACATATATGTGTGTGCAGGTATACATATATACACACGTGTGTGTATATGCAGTTGATAATGTATGAGAAAAGGTGTCCATTTAGGGCTTTGTAAACCTAGTATGCAAACTGATTAGGAGAACTCTTGGCTTCTTTAAACACAGGTATTCCTTTTAGGACTGTAATCAAATTGTAAAAGGGTTTCTTTTGGGGGAGACTTCAATACATACATCTGCTACAAAATTCCAAATGTACAATGAAAAACAACCAGACACCCAATTCACCTCTTTAGATGAGAGGATCTTATCTTTTTTTTTTTTTTTTAAAGATTTATTTATTTATTTGTTTGTTTGTTTATTTATACACGCACTGGGTACAGTCAGAAGCGCGGGAGGGTGAGAGAATTCACCAGAGCCAGAGCGGGGAGCAGAGCAGGCAGAAGGACCGAAGCACACCGCTGAGGGAAGCAGCGGGCGGCAGGAGAGGTCCGCGCGCCATGTGGGACCCTCCTCCGGTGGCCGGGGAGCAGCCGGGGATCGAACCGGCGCCGCAGAGGCTGCGGGCAGCTTCACAACCCAGCGCTCAACCGCTGCACCACCAGGGAGGCCCGGATCTTATCTTTTTTTATATATATATATTTTTTTTTTTTTTTATAGAGGCATGTTTTCTTTCTTTCTTTCTTTATTTGTTTGTTTATTTTCGTTTGTACATGCACTGGGTACAGTCAGAAGCGCGGGAGGGTGAGAGAATTCACCAGAGCCAGAGCAGGGAGCAGAGCAGGCAGAAGGACTTATCTTTTTTTTAAAGAAAGATTTAGGGGCCTCCCCGGTGGCGCAGCGGTTGAGCGCTGGGTTGCGAAGCTGCCCGCGGCCTCTGCGGCGCCGGTTCGATCCCCGGCTGCTCCCCGGCCACCGGAGGAGGGTCCCACATGGCGCGCAGACCTCCCCTGCCGCCCGCTGCTCCCCTCAGCGGTGTACCTCAGTCCCTCTGCCTGCTCTGCTCCCCGCTCTGGCTCTGGTGAATTCTCTCACCCTCCCGCGCTTCTGACTGTACCCAGTGCATGTTAAAACAAAACAAACAAACAAATAAAATAAATAAATAAAACATGCCTCTATTAAAAAAATAAATAAAAAAATAAAGAAAGATTTAGGTCAGAGAATCTGATTTTTCTGATACTGATTTATCAGAAAATTATTGTGTGCAATATGTGTACATGATGGTTTCCAATAAGGTAACAAGGTATTGATACAAAAAGAGCCAAAGATAGATAAAACCTTTAACAATTAAATGCAGGAGTCTTAGCTCCTAATGGGGCTGGGTTTCCCTAAGGACTAGACCATGCTAGGCGAAGTGGAGGGATAAAGGGAGGGGGGATGCGGTAGATGAGGTAGTGAGGAGACACTGACACTTGATCAGGGTGCAAATATCTCCTACTAAGGGTCTCAGCAGGCCTCTATTTATACATCAGAAATTCTTTATGTGATCATTACATCATGCAATCATGTGATTTCACTTTTACATTGTTTTAGAAAGTATTAATGATCATTAACAGTGCACAGTTCTTTTTCTAATTTTTCCAGTATATGATTAACTTGGTTGCTTGGTTACATTAACATGGCTACATATTTTCCTAGGTGATGTATGTTATTCAGAAAATAGAAACAGGTGCTATACCCAACATGATTTATGCAGTCAAGCTAGGTAACTAAAACAAGGCTAAGTGGGCATTGTAAAATCGAGGGCAGCCTTCTATTTCCTATATAGAACCAAAGGGTCCTGGTACCATGGGAACAGCATGTGGTGTGTTTTTCTAGGACCATTTCGCCTCCCAGGGCGCCTCCGGGCCTTCTCTAGTGGGGACTTTTACCGGGCTCAATTCCATCAGTTCTATCAACTGTGGTTTGTTAGAAAACTCAGTGTTACTCATGGTAACTGAATTGCAAATTGCAGGACGTGGAGAATTATTGGAAACCGTTTCATTATCAATCATGTCGGAAGGTACATTTTTTCAAACTACTGAGGTGTGCATTACCGAAACTGGCGTTGATGCCAACACTCATTGTGTTATTTTATTTTTATTATTTTTTTTAAACTATTATTTATTTATTTATACAAACACTGGGTACAGTCAGAAGCGCGGGAGGGTGAGAGAATTCACCAGAGCCAGAGCGGGGAACAGAACAGGCAGAGTGACGAAGTACACTGCTGAGGGATCAGTGGGCGGCAGGAGAGGTCTGCGCGCCATGTGGGACCCTCACCTGGCGGCCAGGGCAGGAACTCCCGGTTCCTGCGCTGCAGAGGCTGCGTGCAGCTTCGCAGCCCAGCGCTCAACCGCTGCGCCACCCGGGAGGCCCCTCATTGTGTTATTTTAAAGCTTATAGAAAATTTCCATGGTTTCAATAACGGCCACAAACAAATGAAAGGAAGTAGCAGGAACCAGCTATGGAGCTTTCTAACTTCTCAGAAATTTCCCCCATGCCCAGACTGTTGTGCCCAATGTCGACCAGTGCAGCCCCCAAGGACACACAGACAGCCGCTGTAAGATCATAAAGGAGTTTATTACGGGCTCGAGTCCGGGCCCACAACACGCACCCATGTAACGGTGGAGGTCGGGAGCCCTGAACAAAGGGAACAGGGATCTTATATAGGGTTACAAGCAGATCTCTAAAAATTAAATCATGTTGGCAAACATTCATTGGTTACACAGGTGCATTTCCTAACAACAGTGGGTGCACAGTTTCAGTTTTTGAGCTGATTGGTCACATCAAGATGCAGCCTATTTTATGGCTAGTTTGACCCTATTAGTGGCCTGAATTGCTCAGCTCCGCTGTGGCTAGCCAACTGAGATAAGACCAGAGTGGGGTGGGGGTCGAACTCTGGAATGCAGTCTTTTCCCGGGACAGCAAGACCTGAAATTCTAAAATGGCAGTTACACACAAAATGACAAAGCAATGGCTAAGAATATTTATGCTTGGTTCCACACGGACCTTGTCAGACAGCATGGGTAGCATGGCCCGCGCCAATTAAAAACATATAAAGATTTGTTTTAGAGGGGAAGAGAATGACTAGGCATTGTGTATACCAAATCTTATTTTTTGTAATCAACATGCTAACCGAACCTTATTTTTTGGGGATCAATTTTTTTTTTTTTTAAAGATTTATTTATTTATACAAGCACTGGGTACAGTCAGAAGCTCGGGAGGGTGAGAGAATTCACCAGAGCCAGAGCGGGGAACAGAGCAGGCATAAGGACCGAAGTACACTGCTGAGGGGAACAGCGGGCGGCAGGAGAGGTCTGCGCGCCAAATGGGACCCTCCTCTGGTGGCCAGCGCTGCAGAGGCTGCTGGCAGCTTCGCAACCCAGTGCTCAACTGCTGCGCCACCGGGGAGGCACAGAATCACTTTTTTTTTAAAGATTTATTTATTCGTATAAGAACTGGGTATGGGCCAGAGGTGTGGGGGGTGAGAGGATTCACCAGAGACAGAGTGGGGGGCAGAACAGACAGATCTACTGAAATACACTGCTGAGAGGAGCAGCGGGCGAGTCAGGAGAGGTCTGCTGCGCCATGTGGGTTGCTCCCTGGCTGACTGGGGATTGAACTCGTGCTGCAATGGTTGTGGATAGCTTCATAGGTTGCGTCTTAACCCCTTGTGCCACTAGGGAGGCTCCTTGAGGATCCCTTTTAAAAGGGGATGTTAAATTAATTGCCTAATTATTTTATTTCCATTGTTCTGCTTCATTTAGCAGAGTATTTGTCTTTAACTTTTATTATTATATGCAAACTTTTAAAGCAAACTCAATAAATTTACATTTAAAAACCACCATAGGTTTCTTCTAATATTGCTTCTGCTTTTAAAATAAGATTTACTAGTAAATCATATTTTTCAAGGTTTTTCGGAACACATAACACCCTTATTTTCTCTAGAAAATGAGTCTGTTTAAAATCTCTTGACTAATAAAGAATATGGATATTTTTGAAATATGCTCTTGCATCATTGTTTCAAGTATTATTCATGATATTTTAGAACATTAATTCACAAAGCCATCATACTTTACCATATTTTCCTCACTCATATATTATTTATAGAATCTTAAAAGAGCCTGTATATTCATCCATACAGTTCATTTTTTTATTCTTTTCTGTCATATTTTAACAAATAGTCATGTAGCATTTAGTGTAACCATTTTCATTGATTTTCCTCCCCCACCCCAGGATAAAACCAGTATTTTTTTCTATTTTATTTGTCTTTGGTTTGAATATTCCCAATTTCTTCCGCCATTCTGTGTTTAAATTGATTTTATTCTTTTCCTCCCCAGCCAAACCACAGGGTGTCAGTGTTCTTAAAGACACTTTATTATTTTTTTTAATCACTTCTCGCCCTTTTGGCTAAGATCAAGTATGAAGACACTTTATTTTTATTTGTAAATCATATTTTATATAAATATAATTTTATATATAAGATTTCACCATGGTAGCTCATACTTTTAAATAAATAATTTCAAGACTTGATTTCATGAAATAACACTTTCTTACCTGGAACACTTCAATAGCTTCTAGTGGACAATGAATTCCAAATTGTTCTGACTTGTGATCTCCAGCATGATCCCAACTTGTCTCTGGCATTTCTTGGTACGCTTCCTCTCATTTTCCATACTGCCAGGGTTTTTCCCTACTGCCTAGAATACCTAGTATTTATCTCTCCTGCCATTTATCTGTCTGTGTATATCCTCACACACATACCTATATGTGAGTATATATGTGTACAAGTGGGGGTATGTCAGAACGCATTTATTATGTACATATATCTGTTTTTCCCTATTTTCTCTCTTTATTTGGCTGCCTCCTATTGTCTCAGTTAATTGAAATATAACCTCTGGGCCTCCCCGGTGGTGCAGCAGTTGAGCGCTGGGTTGCGAAGCTGCCCGCAGCCTCTGCAGCGCCGGTTCCGATCCCTGGCTGCTCCCCGGCCACCAGAGGAGGGTCCCGCATGGTGCGCAGACCTCTCCTGCCGCCCGCTGCTCCCCTCAGCAGTGTGCTTTGGTCCTTCTGCCTGCTCTGCTCCCCGCTCTGGCTCTGGTGAATTCTCTCGCCCTCCCGCACTTCTGACTGTGCCCAGTGCTTGTATAAATAAATAAACAAAATAAAATAATAAATCTTAAAAAAAAAAAAAAGAAATATAACCTCAGAGGACTTTTTAACTCCTTTCAAAAGGAGGTCTTAATCACCTACCGTCATTTTTTGTACTTAAAAAAATCCTCATAAGCTTCATGTTTATTTTATTGACAATTATATCCTTAATGCTTAGCACAGAATGAGCATGTGAACTCAATGAGTATGTGAACTAATGAATAAATTCTAATGTGAAACAGTTACACAATAATCCTGTTAGGGCAAGACTAAAATATTTTATGTGACCAAGAGTATATTAGGCATCTGTATTTATTTATTTATTTTTAAAGATTTATTTATTCATTCATACAAGAACCGGGTACAGGCCAGATGTACAGGAGGGTGAGAGGATTCACCAGAGACAGAGCGGGGAATAGAACAGGCAGATGGACTGAAATACACTGCTGAGGGCAGCAGCGGGCGAGACAGGAGAGGTCTGCCACGCTATGTGGCTATCTGCGGCCGACAGAGGGGATCGAACCAATACTGCAGAGGCTGTAGATAGCTTCACAGCACGCTGTGCTCAACCGCCTGCTCCACCAGGGAGGCCCCAGGCATCAGTATTTAGAAGTACCCTCAAACCATTACCATTCTGATTATCTGAACATGTTTTGTACACATATACATTGAAATGGAAATTGGAAGGTGAAAGAACAGAAAAGTTATAAGAGAGCTACCAGATCTCCAGAGGGTGAGACCTGGTTTCAAGTCTTACTAGAGATCAAGAATTAGGGAACTTCTATAGATTCAGTTGAGAAAATAACTTGGGTAGATAGGAAGAATTGAAAAATAGATGATGAACAGGCTAACAGGCTCATGGCAAGAATGTGTTGTAATGTGTGACTACAGACCTTTTCTGCCTGAAGCTTCTAACCCTAACTGTAAGCTGTTATTTTTCATTTTCTTTTTTTTTTTAAAGATTTATTTATTTATGTATACAAGAGCTGGAGTACAGGCCAGAGGTGCAGGGGGTGAGAGGATTCACCAGAGTGGGGAACAGAACAGGCAGACTGAATGAAATATACTGCTGAGCGGGGAGCAGTGGGCGAGTCAGGAGAGGTCTGCTGCGCCATGTGGGTTGCTCACTGGCTGGCAGGGGGATTGAACTTGTGCTGCAGAGACTGTGGATTGCTTCATAGTGTGGTGCTTAACCCCTTGTGCCACCAGGGATGCCCTATTTTTTGTTTTCTTTATGGTGCTTAAGAAGTTTTTTTTTGCTTTCCTGTGTCTATCTGTATGTGTGTTTTCAAGTGGGCAGGAAGAGCTGCCATGCTGTTTTTTTTTGTTTTTTGGTTTTTGTTTGTAGTAATAATCTAAAGTTGCAAAGTGTTCTAAAGTTATTTTTTTTTAAGATTTATTTTTAGGGCCTCCCAGGTGGCGCAGCAGTTGAGCTCTGGATTGCGAAGCTGCCCGCAGCCTCTGCAGCACCAGTTCGATCCCCGGCCTCCGGAGGAGGGTCCCACGTGGCACTCTCCTGCCGCCCACTGCTCCCCTCAGCAGTGTACTTCGGTCCTTCTGCCTGCTCTGCTCCCCGCTCTGGCTCTGGTGAATTCTCTCACCCTCCCGCGCTTCTGACTGTACCCAGTGCTTGTATAAATAAATAAATAAATCTTTAAAAAAAAATGAATGCACTTTAAAAAAAAAAAGATTTATTTTTATTTATGCGTACAAGAATGGGGGTGTAGGCCAGAGGTGGAACCAGAGGTGAGAGGATTCACCAGCGACAGAGAGGAGAGTAAAACAGGTGAATCTACTGAAATACGCTGCTGAGGGGAGCTGTGGGCGAGTTAGGAAAGGCCTGCTGCGCGGTGTGGGGCAACTCCCAGGCTTGGTATCAACTCATGCTGCAGTGGCTGCTGATCGCTTGATAGTGCTCAGATTTTAACCCTGTGCCACCAGGGAGGCCCAAAAGTGTGATAGTTATTTTGTAATCTCTACAATTTGTGTTTCCTCTTAGTTTTCAATATTTAAATCAGGTAATCTTTGTCTTTTTAGATATTTAGCTTCCTGTGATATACTAATGAGCAGAACTCTCCCACTACATGCCTCAGTTTTGCCTAAGGAATTATATGCAAGAACTTTCTTCAAAATTGCTGCACCGTTAATAAACAAAAGGAAAGAATATTCAGAGAGGAGAATTATTGGGTTTGTATATAATATAATAATAGTTCTGCTAAAAAAACACATTCACAATTTTCTATTGAGTTTTGTGCCTCTTTTTTTTTCCCCTAGGTTTTCTTCTTGAGTCTATACTTGTTTTTCCAAGTTGACCTTGTTGTTTTATAAATATTTGTTGAATGGCTATAATTATTGATGACTTCATAAGATAGAATTTTATACCTTAACAAATAAAGGAAATAATTTAACTGCTGAGATCTGCACATTTGTGCATAGTAATACAGTGGCAACATACAGCTCCCTTCTCACAGACACATATAGCTATACAGACATGCTAAGTGGCTTATTCCATCTAGAGCTGAGAATGGCAAACTTATTTTGTGAAGGACTAGATATTAAATATGTTGAGGTTTTCTGTTGCAGCTGCTCAGTTCTGTCATTGTGGTCCAAAGTAGCCATAAACAATATGCAGTAAATGTGCTGGTGGGAGTGCAAACTGGCCCAACCACTATGGAGAGCTGTGTGGAGATTTCTTGACCTACTAAACATAGAGCTTCCATATGATCCAGCAATTCCACTCCTAGGTATTTACCCAAAGGACACAGAAACAGTAATTCCTAAGGGCACCTGCACCCCTGTGTTTATAGCAGCACTATTTACAATATCTAAGCTATGGAAGCAACCCAAATGCCCAAAAATAGATGACTGGATCAAGAAGATGTGGTACATATATACCATGGAATATTACTCAGCAATCAAAAAAGATAAACACATGCAGTTTGCAGCAACATGGATGGAGCTAGAAGGGATCATGCTCAGCGAAATAAGCCAGAAAGAAAAAGAAAAATACCGGATGGACTCAATCATAGCAGGAATTTAGAAAACCTAAATAAGAGACCAGGAAAAAGACTAATCGATACAAAGTAAAAATCAAAATCAACAAGCAACTATAAACCAGAGACACATTGGGGGCTGAGCGGCAGGGAAAGGAAGGACTAGAATCAAAAAGGGGGGAGGTGCATTTGTATGGGGAATATAACCAAAATGAAAATGCATACATTGTGCAAAAATGAAAAATGATGTAAGAATTATATAAAATAAAATATTTAAATAAAGAAAAAAAATAATATGCAGTAAATGGATGTGACTGTTTTCTAGTGAAACTTTATTTACAAAAACAAGCAGGGATTAAGTTTGGCCCCTGAGTTGGGATATATATTCCAGCGGATAGACTGTGATTCTGCTAAGTTAGAAACAGAGCAACATTATTCTTTTTTTTTTTTTTAAGATTTATTTATTTATTTATTTATTTATTTATTTATTTATTTATTTATTTATACCAGCACTGGGTACAGTCAGAAGCGCAGGAGGGTGAGAGAATTCACTGAGCCAGAGCGGGGAGCAGAGCAGGCAGAAGGACCGAAGTACACTGCTGAGGGGAGCAGCGGGCGGCAGAAGAGGTCTGCGCGCCATGTGGGACCCTCCTCCGGTGGCCGGGAGCAGCCGGGGATCGAACCCGCGCCGCAGAGGCTGCGGGCAGCTTCGCAACCCAGCGCTCAACAGCTGCACCACCGGGGAGGCCCAGAGCAATATTATTCTTAAGGAGACTTCTATAAGATGGTCTTAATTCCCAGCAGGCCTTTAAGTATTACACAAGTTCTTGTAAAAATACATTTCATTAATTTTATTCAGTTGCATTTTCCCATATATTTCTGTGGTAGACTTTTGACAGACTCATGGCTAGTATCACTGCTAGTTATTGCATTACTGGCTAGTTATTGTATTAGGTAAGGTAGTGGTAGAAGTGATAATAGATAGAAACCCAAAAGTATATATTTTTTCTCATGTGAAGTTTGAGTGGGTGTTCATAGTCCTTGGACAGCAGTGCTTCAAGTGAGTGATTCAAAAATCTCAGCTCCATCCAGCTTGTGGTTTATATAATTCCTTAGTCTTCAAAGACTTACGATACACCAGCTTCTTAACCACATGTTGTTCTGGAAGTGGTACACAGTGCTTTGTCCCAGATATTACTGGTAAGAATAAGTCATGTGAGCAGGTCTAAGTGCAATAGTGGAATGAGCTAGGAGCTGTAGCCCCCTGATCAGTAGCTACTTGGCAACAACACCCCCTTCCCTAGAGTAAGCAGAAATCTTTGGATATGTGGAACATCTTTGCCATAGTAAGGGTCTGTTAAAAAGAAAAGTGGCAATTGAAAGATAAGAAATTAAATAGAATGTCTTTTTTACATTTGAATCACTAATATTTTCCTTCTGCTATATACCTTCCATTTGACAGGCACTACTGGTGCTTTATAATTGCTTCATTTAGTTTTCACAAAAGTCAGGTGAAGTAGGTATTATTATTCCCATTTTAGAGGTAAGAAAACTGAAGCACACAGAGTTTCTTATACATTAAATGTCTTGATTCTAAAGCTAATTTTTCTCACCACATGTATTCTTATTTGCGCCCTTATTCTTTTCTTATTCTGAAAGTTTTTATTACAAATGGGTTTTAGCCAATGATCTTAATCTTTTCCCCCTTATGTCACCTAATATAACTATTGCTTATTTAGTGCTTATTTAGCTTCATGCACTATGGTGAAACTGTTTTGTTTAACCCTCAAGGGAAGCCTATAGCAATATTTTTCAATTATGGATGACGAAAATGAAGTTAAGAGGTTAAGCAGCCTACCTAGGGTCACAGGACTCACAGTCTGTTTGAGTCCACACTTGTACACATTCTTTCTGACTAGAGTCTGTTCCCTTGACCATGATGCTCTACTGCTTTCTTAGTCTTTGTAGACTATTTTATGACACTTGGTTTCCAGGCTATAAAGTTTCATAATTTTTCATGGGACTTGTATTGACATTTATTTCAAAGTATCTGGAAAACCAGTGTAGGGGAGGTTTTTCTTTGCCGTGGGCCTAATTTCATGATTAGAAAGATTAATTCAAATATATATATATATATATATATATATATATATCATTCTGTCATATTCCAGAAATACCTTTTTGCAGTTTAGATTGTAATTGCTTAAATAACTATCAGTTTAGACATGTTATGTTTTAACAATGTTCTTATAACTAAGAATAATATGTGTCTGGCTCTTGTTAGTCAGATTGACTTTTACATGTATATATACAGTATTGTTTGTTTGCTTATTTAAGTTCTGAAGTTATTTTTGTCGGATTTATTTCTAGGTAGTTTGCATATCTGTGGTTCTGTTTTCTAACTGATTTATTTAATTGTATTGTCCCTTGATTTTTCTACAGTACAGGAAATAAATTTTTATATATTTTATAATAAGTTGTCTTACTAAATCCTGAGTTGATTCTCTTATGATAATCTTATCACATGTCAATTGATAATTTTTCCTATTTCTCTTCCCCACATTTGCCTCATATTCATGCTCTGATTTAATTACTGTGATACTTTAAGAACTGTGTTACATAACAATGATAGTAGCCAATATCTTTGTATTATTTTTAACTCTAATCAAAATACGGTATTTAACCATCCATGGAGGGGATCATGTACTTTTTCTAACTAATATGGTTATAATTCTTAGTATAATTCTTAGTATTAAGCCACCCATCCTTAAGTTAATTGTGTTTGATTTGATCATTGTATTTAAAAAATGTATTTTGGGATTATATTTGCAGATATTTTATTTAAAAATTTTGTCTTAGAACTCACAGAGGTGATATTGGCATATCGATTTTTTTTACTTATGTTCATAGTCAGATTTGGGTTGTTAAGACGTTGTGTAGGCTCATAAAAAGAGTAAAAATGGTTTCCTTTCTTTATGTCCTAGTGTAGGGTTTTTTTAAATTACAAAAGTAATACAGTAAACATAACTACAAAAGTATATATATACTGACTGTCTTTACCCCTATTTCCCCTGTGTTAATAGCTTTTAATTGTTTAATCAGTATCCTATTACTTTAATAATTATTTTTAGGAAAAAATAAATATCAAACATTTAAAATTGAGGAAGTAGATTTAATTTTTTAAAACAGATAATAGAATTATATATATATATATATCCTGTCTGGTTTGTAATATGCTTTTTTTTATATAGCATCACACTATCAACCTCTTTAAAGTATGTATTTGATCTTAATTCTTTTAAATAACTGATACAGAGTTCTGCAGTATGGATGTCCCATAATTTATTAATCATTTGTTATTATTTATTAAGTATTACTGTTGGCTAAAAAACTTTCAGGTTGCTTTTAGTGTTTTCTCTCAGAGTCTCAAGCTTTAGATGCTGGTCAGTAGCTAAAATTTTAAAAAATATTGGGGTCAAAACGGGGTTGCAATTGTATGGGGAATATAAAAATAAAAATTAAATTAAAAAAAATACATCTGCAAGCCAATTCACCTTGTGACTTCTGCTGTATGTGTATATTTAGCTCCCTTTTATTAGTTTGAAGTAATTTGTTCTAAGTGTTTTTCACCATATGTGCAAATGATTTATTGCCTCATATAAATAAGTGTTATTGATATACAGTTTAAACTATGCATATGCCATATAACTAGGTTCAGTTAAAATCTTTTTTTATTTTTTTTTTAAGATATTCTATGCAGGAAATGTACGATGTAGTATCAGGAATGGAGGATTATAAGCATTTTGTTCCTTGGTGTAAAAAATCAGATGTACTATCAAAGAGATCTGGATACTGCAAAACACGATTAGAAATTGGGTTTCCACCCATGTTGGAGTGCTATACATCAGTAGTAACCTTGGTGAAACCACATCTGGTAAAGGTAATAATTTTGTTTTTTACTGTTTTTGAATATTCTCCAAATACTGGTTATATCAAATAGTGTGATAGCTGAAAAAGATGTTCCTAAATTAATAGGAAAAGGAAAGTAGGAAACAAACCACTTAATCTTTGCACTACCTGTTTTGTTTGTTTATTTGTTTGTTTCATTATAAAATGCTTACCATTGAGGGGAAAATTGAATTTGTTTAATAAATATGTACTTTTAAGTCAAGGAGGGGAAAATAATTAGAGGATGAAGAAAGGTAGAAAACATAATTGTGAAGAACATAAGCATTGTTGTGGCTGTCTTGCATGTGCTGGGTAGTAAAATGTCAGGTAGTATTACATGCATTATATTAATCATCTTACCCTTGTTATAGGAGAATAGACATAAAGAAAAGATGCCCACGGCCTCCCTGGGAGCCTGGGGTTTAAGTGTCAGTGCTATCACCTTGACTTTCCACCACTACTACCTGAGTTCCATCCCTGGCCAGGGAGCTAACCCACATATGGCGCAGTAGACCTCTCCTGTCTGGCTCACTGCTCCTCTCAGCAGTGTATTTCACTCAATCTGCCTGTTCTGCTCCCCACTCTGTCTCTGGTGAATCCTCTCACCACTACCCCCCACCTCTGGCCTATACCCCAGGTTTTCTATGCAGTAAATAAATCTTTACAAAAAAAGAAAGAAAAGATGCCTAGACTTAAACACACAAAGAGGCAGAATCCGCAGAGTAATACTCACTTCTTTTGAATTCATAGACTTCAACTCAGCACAAAAGCTGAGTTGCATTTTGTGCCCATCAAGAAATTTGGTATCATTTCTTGATAATTGGCCAGAGCTAGATGCCCTCATTAGTTCTTTGATACACATTAAAGGGGGTGCAACTCTCATACCAGAAAGATTAGACTCTCTAGTGAGGCTGATCCTTCAGAGTTTTCCTGGTTTCACTCTCAAAATTTGAACTCCATTTGAAAGACTGTGCCTCACTCTGGGACTTTTCCATTACTACATAGGTTTTCACCTATTTGCCTCATAGTTTGGGGGATTTTACCCAACATACTTTACTGCCTCTCTTATAATAGCTAACATTTCACTGAACCCTTTGTAGTGCTTCACTTAAATTACTCATTAACTCTTCACAATAGCCCTTTGAGATTCAAATGTCATTATTCTGTATGTTACAGTTGAGCAAACTTGGGCTTAGAAGAGTTAAATAACCTGCCCTGGGTCACAGAGCCAAGAATCTAGCTCATTTTCTCTGACACCAGTGATTATTTCTATAATCTTAAAAATATTTTTCTCTTACAATTTAAATCTTGACATACTGTGCTGCATCTAACTAGAAGAACTATAAAAATAACTCATTTTCTTCCCTTCCATCTTCTTAACACATACAGGTTAAAGTCAGTCTGTTTATTGTTGTACATGGAATCATCTACCTACCTCATATCCCACCCCACTACTCACACACAAACATAGTCTCTCTCTCTAAATCCCACACATAATATTTTTTTTTTAGGCATGTATTTATTTATTTGTTTGTTTGTTTGTTTGTTTATACATGCACTGGGTACAGTCAGAAGCACGGGAAGGTGAGAGAATTCACCAGAGCCAGAGCGGGGAGCAGAGCAGGCAGAAGGACCGATGTACACTGCTGAGGGGAGCAGCGGGCGGCAGGGGAGGTCTGCTCGCCATGTGGGACCCTCCTGCGGTAGCCAGGGAGCAGCCTGGGATCGAACCGGCGCCGCAGAGGCCACAGGCAGCTTCGCAACCCAGCGCTCAACCGCTGTGCCACCGGGGAGGCCCCCACACTTAATATTCAGGCAATACAATACATCATAAAGTTCCATGAATACACCATACTGTGATTATTCCACAGCATTATCTGTGCCTTTGCAAATTGTTCACTCCTTACCTGTAATAAACTTAACTCCTTGGTTATTGATCCTTCAAATTTCAGCTTTCTGGTATTGATGTGTTGATTACTTCCTTTCTTTGATACAGATAATCAGTCTTACCTCAGTGATTTCTCTGGCTGTGTATATGCTTTCTTTCTCTTATCACTCTGTAGTATATTTTTTCACCTGGATTTCTCCTTGATAAGCTTGATCTTCATGAGGGAATAGAGGAGCCTTCCTATCTTTTTCATCTCTGTATCCTTAGCACCAAAGTTATAATGATGGGAATCATGAGGGTCCTTGCTTAAAAAGGTCTTACTGCTGTATTCTGGGGTTACTGCTGATCCAGAGAGTTTCATTTTAATCTCAGTGACTTTCAAAACTGCCTTGGAGGGAGTAAACTTTTTAGAAAAAAGAACTTCACATTGATGTGTGAGGTCATCATTGCTATCTATCTCATGTTTATGAGACTTAGAGAATTTAAGAACTTTATACAAATTTCATGTGTGTGTGATTCAGAAGCTTTTTTCCATTATAATATGTATAAATTAATATCTATTATAATATGCATAAATTAATATACTAATTTATTATTTAAAGTTATATTTGAGAGTAGCATACAACTATATATTCAGCTTTTGGTTTCTGGGTTCAAGTTCTGGGTTTGAATTCCTAATACACTTATGTGACATACAGTAAAAGTCATTATAACCAAGGAGCTGCAAAATTGTTTGACATTTTCTGTGAATTATTAGCTGTCGCAAATGTGCCTGCCACTTAATGTATCAGTAATTTTAGTCTACATTAATCTATAACAGCTAGAAGCCCTTGAAACATACACTGGTTTCCATTTAGAAAATTAAAAATTTTCTTTTTATAAATATATGATTAGAGCATTTCTTTGTAAATTCATTTGAGTATGGATGAACTTGATCTTCTTTGTAATGTTTCGATCTTTTTTTTTTTTAAAAGATTTATTTATTTATGCATACAAGAACTGGGGTACAGGCCAGAGGTGTGGGGATGGTGAGAGGATTCACCAGAGACAGGGTGGCGAACAGTCAGGAGAGGTCTGCTGCACCATGTGGGTGCTCTCTGGCAGCCGGGGGATCAAACTCGAACTCTTGCGCAGTGGCTGTGAACATCTTCATAGGTTATATCTTAACCCCTTGCACCACCAGGGAGAGGGCTTAGATTTTGAGACAGAAATTTTTTTTTTTTTTTTTTTTTTTTTTAGAGGCATGTTTTTATTTATTTATTTGTTTGTTTGTTCGTTCGTTTTGTTTATACATGCACTGGGTACAGTCAGAAGCGCGGGAGGGTGAGAGAATTCACCAGAGCCAGAGCGGGGAGCAGAGCAGGCAGAAAGACCGAAGTACACTGCTGAGGGGAGCAGCGGGCGGCAGGAGAGGTCTGCGCGCCATGTGGGACCCTCCTTCGGTGGCCGAGGAGCAGCCGGGGATCGAACCGGCGCCGCAGAGGTCGCCGGCAGCTTTGCAACCCAGCGCTCAACCGCTGCGCCACCGGGGAGGCCCGAGACAGAAATTTTTTAAGTGTTCTGCTGTTGAGGGAAGATGGTATATATTCCTAAGATTAGTGGTGTACTAGCATAATAATATCCAGATAGCATCTTAGGATAGTTAATAAAGAAGCTAAATTTCATTCAATGTCACAATCAGTCTTGACAATAGACCAGTAGCTGTGCTTCTTTCTGGTTACCATTTTTTATACTGTAGAAACAAAGAGACAACACTTAAGATTTATTTTTTATTTATGCATACAAGAACTGCAGTGTAGGCCAGAGGTGTGGAGAGGGGAGAGGATTCACAAGCGATAGAGTGGGGAGCAGAACAGGCTGATCTACTGAAATATACTGCTAAAGGGAGCAGTGGGCAAGACAGGAGAGGTCTGCTGTGCCATATGTGGGTTATCTCCCTGGCGGGGGATCGAACTCATGCTGCAGTGGCTGGTGATAGTTTGATAGTACTGAGACTTTACCCCCTGCACCCCCAGGCAACTCTTGAGTAGATCTCAGTAAGTAGTTTTAATGATACAGAATGGGAAAACACAAGATGCACAGCACAAGACATTGCTAAGTATTATGTGTCAGTGTGTATATGTGTATATACACACATAAGATAAAACATGAGCCCTGACAAGGTTAAAGGTCTCAAAGCAATGGGACTTTCAGGGAAGTGGCTTTAGAGACCGCTAGAAGTATAGAGCAACATTTGAAGGAAAGACTGAATGATGAAAAAAAAATGTTGTATAGAAAAGAATTATGCATTTTTGCTAGAGATCTGTTCCATGTTCCTTATAAATGTTTTGTCATCTCATAATGATGGTATAAAATAGGCATTATTCTCATTTTAAGAGATTAATGAAGTATGGTTCAGGGAATTTATTTGTTTTTTTTTTTAAGATTGATTTATTGGGCCTCCCCGGTGGCGCAGCGGTTGAGCGCTGGGTTGCGAAGCTGCCGGCGACCTCTGCGGCGCAGCGGTTCGATCCCCAGCTGCTCCCTGGCCACCGGAGGAGGGTCCCACAGTGTGCTTCGGTCCTTCTGCCTGCTCTGCTCCCCGCTCTGGCTCTGGTGAATTCTCTCGCCCTCCCGCGCTTCTGACTGTACCCAGTGCATGTATAAACAAAACAAACAAACAAATAAATAAATAAATAAATAAAAACATGCCTCTATAAAAAAAAAAAAGTGTTAAAAAAAAAAGATTGATTTATTTATGCATACAAGAGCTGGGGTGTAGGCAGAGGTGCAGGAGGTGAGAGGGTTCTCAAGAGACAGAGTGGGAAGCAGAACAGGCAGATCCACTGAAATACACTGCTGAGGGGAGCAGCAGGCAAGACAGGAAAGGTCTGCTGCAACATGTGGGTCAGCTCTCTGACCAGGGATCAAACTCATGCTGCAATGGCTGCGGATAGTTTCATAGTGCTGATGCTTAATCCCTTATACCACCTGGGAGGCCCCGGACTTATTTGTTCAGGATGACTTTTAAGTAGCAAGGCTGGAATAACTTCCAGTAAATCATTGTCTCTTTCTGCTGGAGAAGAGAACTTTAGGAAGCACAGTGGATGATAGTAGTGGAAGAGATAATAGTGAAACAACAGACAATCTTGGGGATCCCAGGAGAAAATGACTTACTTGGCAGAAGGTCACTTGCTAGTACCAACTTAAAAGTGAACTGTTTTTATCACTTGTGATCTGACTTATAAAAATGTTTACTTCACAAAGAACTGAGCCTCCACTACAGATTCTGGACAATAATAAATGATGTTTTATTGTGGCTTTATTTTTTTCATTTTTTTGTAGGCATCCTGTACTGATGGGAGGCTTTTCAATCACTTAGAGACTGTTTGGCGTTTTAGCCCAGGTCTTCCTGGCTACCCAAGAACTTGTACCTTGGATTTTTCAGTAAGTGTCTTATACAGCCCTTAATTTATTCCAAATGTTGGCGAAATTGTAAAGAAGTGTTTATCTATTTATTAGAGTTCACATGCCCTAATTACTTCTCCTATGTGCATAGAGATTACGGAAAGATACCTTCAAAAAAACTCAAGTTTTGAATACCTTATTCACTGACCTTATAAAAATGAATGCTAAGGAGGTTTTCACATTTTCTATTTTATTTCTCAAACCATGAATGTTCTTCTAATTTTTACCAGTCTACAGATTATAAGACATGCTATGATTTACTACCAGCTTAATAATAGTTTTTTAACACTAAATGAAATCGATACATTGATTTACATCTACAATGCAGCAATAAAGTACAAGGGGAAAATGTGTTTTTAGAATCTAGGGACTTCGATAATGTTCTTGTTCATATCCTTAGATATAGAAAACTTAAAACCACCGTGGTTTTTCTTTGCCAACAGATAGATACTGTTTGAGTTCTTTGTATTTGTACTCAGGTATTATGTCTTAAGAAATGGTAATAATTAAATTACTCTGTTATTTTCAGCCCATTGAGTTGCTTTCATTAAAAAATCCATGGACTTTAATGGGACAATTGGAGAAATTTGATAAGATGGTATAGATTAGACAATAACATTGTTATCTTGTATTATTTACTCCCACTTAAAATTTCCTGACTTTAATAATTGCACTATGAATATACATACATTAAAATAGGAGAACCTGGGTAATGGGTACAATAGTACCTTTGTGCTATTTTTGCACCTTTTTTATGAATCTAAAATTGTTTCAAAATGAAAAATCAGGGCCTCCCCGGTGGCGCAGCGGTGAGCGCTGGGTTATGAAGCTGCCTGCGGCCTCTGCGGCGCCGGTTTGATCCCTGGCTGCTCCCCGGCCACCGGAGGAGGGTCCTGCATGGCGCGCAGACCTCTCCTGCCGGCCACTGCTCCCCTCAGCAGTGTACTTCAGTCCTTCTGCCTGCTCTGCTCCCCGCTCTGGCTCTGGTGAATTCTCTCACCCTCCTGCGCTTCTGACTATACCCAGTGCATGTATAACAAACAAAAACAAACAAACAAATAAATAAATAAATAAAACATGGCTCTATTTAAAAAAAAAAAATGAAAAATCAAATTTTTACGCTTGTGAATATTTGTTCCTTAAATACTTCTCAGACCACTTGCCTTAAATTCTAACTTGAGCAGTGAAGAAATATAAAGTTCTAAATCATTGTCTACGATAAGATTGTACCATCTACATTATCTGCTTAGTGGTTCCAGGTATGTATGTGCATGAATGTTCAATCTCACCTTTCTGTTGCTGCTTCTCATGGGCATACCTATTAGGATCACTTCCCTTCCTTGTTTCCTTTAGAATTTAGAATGTATAAAGTACCCCTATTGGGTACTTTAGAAGCCAGAATAGTAAATGTATTCAACAGAACTTTTTATCCAACAGGTTTTTTTTTAACTTTATTTTTATTTTTGCCAGAAGAACTGGGATGGGATGTATAGGCAATGGTGTGGGGAGTGAGAGGACTCACCAGAAACAGAGTGGGGTGCAGAACAGTCAGATTTACTGAAATACACTGCTGAGGGAGCAGCAGATGAGACAGAAGAGGTCTTCTGTGCCATATGTGGGTCAGCTCCTTGGCCAGGGATCAAACTCAGGCTGTAGTGGATGACAGTGCTGAGACCTAACCCTTAGGCCACTAGGGAGGCACCATCAGTTTTTTTTAACTTAATAAAAGCGGACTGCCTGAAATTAGCCCCTTTCACAGTTGTGCTTACACAGGTATAGCATTATCTTTCCACTTACAGATGAGGTATTTGTCCAGAGCATAAGTAACTTGATTATAATACCTGTCAGATAAGTTTGTTTTTAATGGCAAATGAGATAGTCTACCCTAAGTAGACAATTAGTAAAATAAAGATCTTCCTAAAATAATTATTAACATTTTTCTACAGATTTCTTTTGAATTTCGCTCACTTCTACACTCTCAGCTGCCACATTGTTTTTTGATGAAGTTGTAAAGCAGATGGTAGCTGCCTTTGAAAGAAGAGCTTGTAAACTCTATGGTCCAGAAACAAATATACCTCGGGAATTAATGCTTCATGAAGTTCATCATACATAAAGAAGGAACTGGTCACCTACTTGTAACTTTAGTTTGCTCACTTTTATGAAGTGCTTTTCATCATTTGCTTTCGTAAGTCAGAAAGTACTTGTTAAAACCAGCTTTGATTATAAACCTTCACCTTTGAAAATTTGCACTTGAAATACAGAACCATGTGTACACAGAATTCAATCAAGTACAATTCAGAGTAATATATATGTTGGCATATTTGCAATAATGGAACGTCATCACTATTTCTAGTATACTAACATCATTCTTCTGAGCAGAAATTGAAACTATAAATTTGAACCTCTCAAGATACTTAAACAGTATTACGTTAACCATATCGCGTTTAAGTTATTAAATTCAGACTATTTATAACTTACTGTCATAGGGCCTTCCTCAGGGCTTAGTATATTTGGTAATCATCAGATATTTAAAGTAAAAACTTTGACTTAAAGGACATTGTTACTGATGTTTCCTTTATATTTTCTCATTTTTAAATTGTTCTTAAGGGTAGTAGTAGATAATCCAATGCTATAGTGAAGTTAGCTTCCAGATAAACATTGAATTTTGTTTTGGTGAATGGTCCAGAGCTTTCAGTTACATTTCTAGTAGTTAGGCAACCTTCTGCAGGTACTCCACTCTCTCAATAATGTTGATTGTGTTGAATTTTGCCTACAACTGTGGGCAACAAATGAAGATA